GAGTTTGCAATGAAGGCTCTTAGAGTCCTATTGATGTTGTACATCTCTAAGCATTCAATGATCCAAGTGTGTGGCATATATATATAAAACAAACACCATTACATCATCTTAGCAAGATTTGATACAAGGTCAACGGAAAACACAAAGATAAACACAAGTGATATCTAAGAATGACTGTTGTTAGTAGATCTTGTTCTGACTTTAATCATTCTATCTGCAGATGAACAGCATGTCATGAAAACCTAGGTCATTAAAGGATGTCATGAATTACTAGCTTAAACATAAAAGTATTAGTTCCATTACAACTCCCCCATCTGATCATTAAATCACCAATTAAATGATCAATAAAACAAAAAAACTCTTTAATGTTTTTTCAAAAAAACATGTCAACATAAACCTAAGTATGTGTACTTTTCTGAAATGCCAAACACAGTAATTCAATTTTTATTCCTCCCACAGTAATTACTAACCCCAAAACATAATTATCACACAGAAGTATTTGGATCATGTTGAACACAAACAGGATTGTCTGTTTTTGATGTGTGGAAGGGTCAGATGTGGTGGTGGGGCTCTGGGACTTTTTGTAGATCTTGGTTTAGTTCCTGGGGCTGGAAGATGAGAGTTAGCTGGCTTTGGGTCTGGTCTTCGATCCCTCACTGAGATCAGATAGGGAACTTTCATCAGACTCACCAGTTTCTTCCAGTGGTGTGAATTTGTTTTGAAGAAACACTGCWTCATTTCTCTGACCGTTATCATCTGTTTTGATTACAGTCTATTGCTTTCTTCTCCTTGCTGGAGGAGGAAAAGCATTTCTCTGTAATTTTGGCCATTCAATGTCATCTAAGAGCTGAATCCTTCCTGAGAGATTTTTTGGTCTGGCACAAAGAGTGTTCCATACAGCTTTACACTCAGAAGCAGCTTCCATCTCCTCTCCATGTTGATCTCTCATCTCAGCCCTCTCACCCATTGCTCAGATTAAATCATTTGACGACCATACATGCAGACTTTCTGTGCATTTATTCCAACGTGTTTCTGCATTCTTGGTAAATCTTGCCACCACAGGCAAAAAAATACTTTGATAAAACACATCTTGATTCAAATATTTTACACAATATATGTTAAATAGACCTGTTGCTTTTTGCCACCTGCAACAGATTAAAAAAAATAAAAGAATGAGTTTTGTTTTTGAGGTGCAAAAATGTTGGCAAAGAAAATTGTGTTATTTTATTACCAGAAACTATTTCTGCGTCAACTTACAAAATGACTAATGATTAATTTTATTTATTTAATTAACCTTTACTTAACCAGGCAAAGCCCACTGAGCCTAACATTAATGAGTACCACACAAGCCACACAAACTGGGGGTCAAACCCAGGACCTTTTTTCGTGAGACCACAGAGCTAACCACCAAACCACTGTGCGGCCAAATTTTAAAAATTCTCGGCTGCAGATTCTAGTGACTTTATTTCCATATTTGCAAAAATAATTCTCCACCAGAGTTCACTCTTTGCACACCTTCAATAAAAAAGGGGAGAAAGTTTTGTTTTGGGGTGCACCTCATTAAAAAAACAAATGATTATTCTTATGAAGACAATGGGATCAAACCAAACTAAAGCTTTGTGTAAAAAAACATTTTRGCAGAACCAGGAAAAGATGAGTAATTTGTAGAAAATAAACAGCTGCAGCACTGATTTGTTGAAGTTGGTGAAATGAGGAGGAGGAGGGGGAAGGGGCTTCGGCGGAGGGATACACGCCTCACATCAAACACAATCAATTGTCGAGCTTTTCTGAAATTAAAACAAAAACACTTGTCTCTTAGACTAAACCGTGATTTATAACCAGTCGGTGTTGATCTTTAGGTCGGTTCTATTTCATCACGATTAAACGAGCCGAGCAGACGAAGCGCAGTGGAAATCGATCAGGACTAGTTTTCTTGGCGGAGGAGTGGAGTTTTTAAACTCAGCACCCGGCGTAGGGGGGCTTACTGAATGGGAGCAGTCACTGGTTTGGTCTGAAAACAACGAAAGCCTCTCGGGCTCCACAACACAGCCCATCACCAGGCTTCTGGGAGCGTTTGGAGCTCGAAAAGAAAAAGAAATCCGCCTCTTTCCTCTCTTCTTCTCCCCCCATCCCTGCTCCCTGTCGTCTCCTGACACAGAAACCATCCAGAAATGGCTCAGATATTACCGATACGATTCCAGGAGCATCTCCAGGTAAGCGCAGAAAAGAGAGGGGGGAAAACAGCCCTTGAAATTGTTTATTTTTTTTTCTTGGTGCTGCGGCTCGTTCGTGTGCCTCCGCGCACAAACAGCACATGTCGCATTTAAATGGAATCTGAAATGGGGCTGCAGGGTGGTGCTCTCAATATAGCTACAGGCCTAGTTTTTCTCCTGCTGGGCAGATGATGACTTGTAAAAATTGAACAGTCTGGTTGTGCACAGCTCCACTGCGGGCCGGTGTGTGGGTAACCCGTGGATTTCTTTTTATTTTTTGTCC